ACGCAACCGTACTTCAAGGCGATCCAACACCACCTGCGCCTTGGTAGGAACAAGTCCTAATGCCTTAAAAGCCTTCTGGCAGTTGACTTTTATAAACACGTCAAAAAACGCGTCCCTAAAGGCTGGTAGAAAGCCTTGTTAATGTGGAAGACGCGTCGGCGTGCCAAGTCTCTAACCCGTTGAGAGTATTTGCGCTTTAACGGCGAGAAGCAGACCACGTCAAGCGGCTGAAGGATGTGCGATGAGTGAGGTGGCATGCAGAGAGTGAGGATCTTGTGTTCAAGGCAGTAGTCCTTGAAATCCTGGTTGAGATGGCTCTCATGGCCATCTAGAATGAGTAGCCTGTACACCCCCACCTTGCGCGTCTTTGTATGCGCGTTAAAATGCTTCAACCACTCTAGACCAAGAGCGTTGTTAGTCCAGCCATTCTCAGAGACTGAGACCTTCCAATTACGCGGGATATCTGCCTCCTCATACCAGGCAGAGATGTGGACGCGCCCTTTATAGATGATGAAAGGTGGGGTTGCATACCCAGCAGCGCAGATACTCTGGATGACTGTAACCCACTCGCGATCGCCTGGCTGAATAAGATTTGGTCGAGCACGTCTCTCTGCGCCTGTAACCACTTTCATTGAGCCAATAACGCCCATCTGAAAGCCTGTCTCATCGAAGTTGTGCACGTCATCGTCGTGGATGCCGTACTTGGCTTTGGTGTCCTCCACCAGCTTAAACCACGCGCTAATTATCTCTGGGTCCTCCTGGAGTATTCTCTGGTGATCCTTTGCTCGATTGAACGCCATCTTGAGCTCATCTGATCGCGTTACGAATCTCTCAGCCCAGCATTTGCCAACTGGCTCACCACCACGTACACCCAGTAGTTTATCAGCCATATCTGCTACCTCGCACAGCCGGGGCGCAAATCCTCGTGAGTCAAGGTCGAGGATATATCGGACAATCGTCTTCTCTTCAGTCGCAGTAAGCTTTTGGTTGTTGGGGGTGCAATCGCGTCGTGCAGAAATTCCTTGTACGCGTCGGTTGAGGGTCCTTGGGCGAACGTTGAAGGCGTCAGCAGCAGCTTTTTGCGTTCGGAATTGGCCAGATTAGAAAGCTGCAAGTGCAAGTTCAACTGCACCTTCATGATAGACTGAGTTCACGGTGTTTGATGAAGACATGTTGTGTTGAAGGTAGATGGTGGTTGCCAAGAGAATTCTGCGACACTCGCTGATGCGCGCCACTCGCTGATGGAATACGTTAAGTATCTAATATGTTCAGAACATAATAGAGCCTTTTTGCCAGTGTTTGGTTGGGTAGGAAATACTTTGGTGGGGTGGGTGTGGCTGAGCCTTGGCATGGTGGGCCGCGAATATCCGTTGGTGGGCTGTGCCGCAACCTGGTAAATTTGCTAGATACACTTTAATAGGGAACGATCACGCACTAGCTGTTTGAGTCCTCATAAAAAACGAGCTTCTTCGTATTGGGGCTGAGTTTCTAGAACCAGTCCAGATCGATACCTTTGAGGAGTCACACCGCGATCCGACATGATGGGTGTGGGATTATTGCTTTGGTTTCATCTGAAGTCACGTCGATCTCTCACTGCTGGCTCGGTAGAAGCCAAGATCTGGGGTCCTTTAATCCACACACACGACTCGATTTCCTCCACGCGCAACTTGACCACAGACGTTCAATCTTCTCGGTCAGCCTCTGAAGACGCGTCTGCTGGGAAGGGCGGTGGTAATCGCTGCGCCCTCAAACGAGGTGCGTAATCAGCTCCACCGGTTTATTGCTGGGGTGGCCCTTGTTTCGTGTGCTGCACGCCCTACAGGCCACAAAGATGATGCCTGAATTTGGCTTGTGGTTTTGATTTCCAACCCGGCACACGACTGCCGGTGCTGCCCGTATGCGGCTCTGTTCGCGCTGCTTTTGCGTGTTCTTCGAGGCCAATGAAGGGCATGTTGCGCCCGCGCGAGGGCACAGAATCGCCACGTCCAGTCTGCCATCACTCGAAACACCGTGCAGTACTTTGCGAGAGCGCGCACGAACGTGATGGCCCTCTAGCCAGTGCGGTGCTAGCGCTGATGTCCAGGTGCGCAGTGATTAACGCCCATTGGCTGCATAGTGCCGGCCGTGCTGCGACTTCGGTGAGTCAGAGTGAAGGTGGCTTGGCATGCTCGCTTCTCGCACGTCTGGCCGCCGTTTAAAATCCCCCGCCTTCCCTCGCTGCCTGATTTTGCTTCGTCCACCGCACACTCATACACCAACACCAAGACAGTCACATCAAAATGGCTGCCTTCTAAGCGTCTCGCGCCCGCCACTCTGGAACCAACAACAAACACCCCAACTATTCAACTCCCCCCCTCAGAGACTTCCTTTTTGGAACCTCTGAACTATAGCCTAGCCTCGCGCAGCTCCAGTTCGCCTTCCACAATCGACTTCACGTCGATCACCACGGCTTCTCACCAGTCACCATGGCTCTCTTCACCAGCTCCCCACGCCTATCGGCATCAACTGAATACGACATCACACGACCTCGCGCATCCGCAGACGGACTTCGTGCTCTACGACCAACCAGCTCAACCCCGTCGAGCACCGAGCGCTCCTCAGCCTGCTCCTACGTTTAACAACGGCCAGCACTTCTACGCAAATTCTGCACCATCATCCACCACAGAATTCCAGCAGCCCTTGTCCCGACAACGTCCTCCGGTTCCCTTGTTTTCCAGCTCTAGCAACAACATCACTCCACAAGCACATCAGCAACTGCCAAACGTCGCAAACATGGCAGGTAAGGACGGTTCGTTCGGCCAGTACTCTCACATGCTCACACATATCGCAGACCTGCACAGCAAAAACTCCTTTGATTCGGGCGCCAGCCTGATGCCTGCCTTCCAGGCCGGCGGTTTCACTTTGGAGCAGGTGTCTGCGTTCACCGCGATCAACGACCCTTCGGTCGCATCCGGTTCCACGCGCACCGTGTCTCCAAAGGACATCTTCACCGACGCATTCGGCTCTGCGCCCCCATCTGCGGCGTTCACCAACCTGACCTCGCCCGACATCGACGCCTCGCCTTTCATCAACGACAGCTTCGAGACCTCTCCCATGTTCCAGGGTGAGGCCCTGCTCACCAACACCAACGACTGGTTCTCCCTGTTCCCCGAGGAGGAGACCAGGCTTCATGAACCCAAGTACGCTCCTGCCCTGCCGCTGCCCATGGAGCGCACTGTCAGCAGCCAGTCCATGGAGCGATCCGGCTCTTCGAGCATGGGATCCCCAATCGTCTTGGATAGCAGCTCGTTCCGCAGGAAGTCATCTGTCACCAACTCCCCTGCCACGAACGGCATCAGCAAGTCTCGTCGCCGCAAGGGTGCCCTCCCTGCCATTACTGTCGACCCCAACGACAAAATCGCCCTGAAGCGGGCACGTAACACTCTTGCCGCTCGTGAGTCGCGACAAAGGAAGTTCGACCACGTGTCTGAACTGGAGGCTCGCAACGCTGATCTCGAGGCCGAGATTGAGAAGTGGAAAAACATTGCTATTGCTCATGGTTACACAGGAGCATGAATCTCCGCCCCCCTCGTATCAAGTTACCGGTGGCCTTAAGGAGCTGGTGAAGACCAGCCAGCCTTTTGGCAGAAGTTTTCCTTTCATGTTGTCCTGGACTTGCTGCTATTCACACGCCTGCCTCGCCTTAAATGGCTGATGGCTCGTGTCGCTTTTCTTTCTCTGATTAATGTTTACCGCCGGAGTGCAGTCTCCCTCGCCTCTAGGCGCGGTTGATTTGACTCCTCCTGGCGTGAGTGAGAATGGCTTGCCGATGTTTTCATTTCTGTTCCGCAATCTCTATCTGTCCTTATAGATACCGGTAGGGGAGTACCTTGTTCTGATGGCTCCCGTCTCTTAAATATACCTCTTTACCATAATCATGACTACTTGCACTGACTCTTGCGATTCGTGATGGACTGTCTTTGCTCAACTGTGTCGTCACTGACGCGCTCGTGTCTCGACTTCCTATTATGACTTATCTATTGCTTAGAGCTTCAAGGTCTCCCAGTGCTGTACAGACTCGGGCTGAAGGACTCCCAGAAAATGTCTACCTCTGCGCAGTGAGAGACCGTGGCCCGCCTATTTTGCATCGGTCTACAGGTTCCTGACGTATGACACAGCTCACCTCGGCTGTGACTGTGGTACCGCCCTACTCATCACTCAGCAACTTATTCCTTCAATCAACCATCCCAACACTTCTCTTCAACATGCAAGACTTGTAGAAGCCACGTCAAACTCAGGTCAATATATTTACCATTTACAAATTCGTCATATTGTATTCCAGGGCAGATGGCCGAGTGGATGAGTGTCTCGAGGTGTTCGCATTTCATAATGGTTATAGGCCCAACAGCTTCTGTACATCTGTACAAATTACCCATAAAGACGCATAAAGCCATGTATATCGATAATGAATGCACTGCACGCTCCTCATATGGCCAGCATTCCAGCAGGGGACACATTCGCTTGTAACTTTGAAAACGAACTTGAAAGGTGCTGTTCTCCAGCCGCTCTTTGTAGGGTTTTCCGGCAATGCGTGTTGTTGAGAAGTGTCTCTTGTCCCTTTCATCTGGCCATGCCTCTTGATTTACTACTACTCTTCTGGATTTGCAACCCAACGCGCCCCAAATCATAGAGCGTACTCCAAGCCCGTTATTTCCTTTTCGGCCTCGGTTTCGGACAGTGGGTTTTGGAGATGACATGGTAGATTTGTATCTCCCGGAAACTTGGAGACTCGGAGTTTGCAAAGACACGAAATCCCTGGATGTTTGGACATCATCCATAAGCACGACGCCACGCTCAGTGCGCTACCCAACCAAACGCTTGGAATGGTGCACACCCACTACTTGTCACCGCGCTAGTGGAATATCGCTTGGAATGTATGACTGCTGCCAGATGACTTGTCATATCCCTTTTAACGTTAAGATTAGTATTTACACAATTTGCATCTTGCTTATTAATTCAGCGGTGAGGTGGCCGAGTGGTTAAGGCGCTGTGTTTAGGTATACCAGTACCCCAAACGAAAGTTTCCGCAGTGGGAAACCGCGTGGGTTCGAATCCCACCCTCATCACCATTATTTTTTCGCATTCTTTTTGCACCCGATCCAAGCATACATGACGCTTCTGCAGATCGAGTTTTGCTCGGGGTGCGCGTGGGGCGGGAGTGATGGTTTGGGCTTGGGAATGCGTGTTTAGACGGCGCTGGGTGCCGTCTTCAATGTGCCTGCAAATCCTCCGGGTGCCGAGTCCCTGTAAACACCGTGTCACTTCGGTCAGTCGGAAGACTCTATGGCAGTGGAAATGGCACAATGGTTTGCATATGGAAGTTACGTGTTTTATTGTATGCTCCCCTCCCTCACCGCGGCAAGGAAGGATCTATCCCCGACAGATCCATGCGAACCGTAATCTCCATATCGTGCATATACGCCGTCTCCGGCGCCCTGACATAGTCGTTCTGCCAGTCCTTTCGTGGGCTGCTCGATCTCGAGAGCAAGCTCACGTGCTGCCTCAGCGCCTGCCTCGAGCTTGTCTTGCTCCAGCGCAGCAAATCCTTCTCGGCCACTGATGACGACCCAAATGTGAGCCAGTGGATAACTAATGCGTCCCAGAACACGTCGCCCATGCAGAGGGTTAGGCAGAGCATGCCCAGCTCCTGCCCTCGGATGACGATAAACTGGACCATGTTGGCTGTGACGGGCAGTTCGATCAAGATCGCCCCGATGATGCTCTTCCATAACAATATTTTGATGTTTCTTTGTACAGTCGTTTCGGCCATGATGGGCTCGCCGGTGCTCTCGGTCTTGCTCTTGCGTGTAAGCGCCGCGGCGATCCCGGCAGACCCGTGCAACTTGATCATCGGGCGTAAGAGATAGAAGAACACGCCGGTCAGACCAACGTTCGTGAAGATGTTTACGCTGAGGATCGGTATCGAGGCAATGCTCCTGATGCCAAAGTGGCAGCGGCCATCAGAGCTTTGCATTGAAGTGACGCGCCAAAAGTACGAGTTGATGCATATGGCGGTGTACAAGATCACTGCAGGGACCAGGCAGGCCAAGTAGATCTTGTCTTTGCTGCGGCGTACAAAGGGTGCCCGGACAATGTGGACACGCTCGACCAGGAAAGCGTAAACGCATGCTTTGGCCATGGTGTAGAACATCAAGCACACCCACGTGCCAGCATCGCAGAGCTTGTACGTGTAGAGTCCTTGTCCGGATACCAGGGCTGCGGACACAACGATGTAACATATGACAGTGATGTACATGGCGAGGAGGAAGATGGACACGAGATTCCTTCTCGAAAGTATGCCTCGTTTTAATCGCTGTATTCGAGATCCTGTAGGTATGTTAACATCTTACGCTCCCGATGTTGATCATAAGAAACTGTACCTAGCAGGAACGCAAGGACGCTTGTGCAGAACAATGACAATACTGCAAATACAGTCCGGTCTGAGGCATGCTCGCCCGTTGTGATATGAACGTTCTCATTAATCTGGGTCTCGAGTGCTCCATCTCTTGACAAAGGTGCAGCCTGCGCGACCAGGCCGCCCGAAAGACACAGCAATGCAAACAGTCTCATTTATACTGGAGTTGGTGTATCCGAGGCAGCGTTATCCTGAGGTTTTAAGGTATATCTACTGCATGTACAAGTGAGTGGATTGGTAAGGCAGAGTGGCTGTGGTTGAGTTTGATTGACCAAATGCTTAGAAGATTGCTCCCGAGAACGATTGAACGTGCATGAGCACTGACAACAGTCTTTCCTAGACGTGGGGCATCGTCAATTCAGCACTGCCGAAGTAAATGCCATAAGCTTCGACATCATAGACCGATGTTTTGCCTGCGTTGATCTGCGAGCGCTACGTGGCGGGGAATGTATCGTGCGGTTGGCAACTCACCGACTGGATACGGAGGTGCAATTCAAAAGTCTTTTCCCACCCCCTGGTCAACGCACAGAGCAATACAGGGGTAAATTGGCCCGAATATTCTTGTTCAAGAGGACAAAGCACCTGCTCATAGCCATTACGTACAATGCTACTATGTATGTGTATCCCCTAGATGGCGGGAAACTGCCTTCGGTAATTAAGCAAATTAGAGTACAACTTGGCGCTTACAAATTAGATTCCATGTTAACCCTAAACCAATCGCTGGCTCTAATTGGGTGATTTTGGTTTACACGTGACTCAATTAGTGGCCGCCGAGGCGTATCTTGATTTGCTTAATTACCGAAGGCAGTTTCCCGCCATCTAGGGGATAAGAGTGGCCAAACGCTAGCATAGGCGAAAATGTGGAGAGACCTATCATAGCTGTGTGTTGGGTAGAGATCGCTCTTGCCTAATTAATTATTTAGATTTGCTTCCTTCCTGTGCCCTGCTAGCGTTTGGCCACTTATGCTTATTTCTATAGTAGTTAAGAGCACGTTGCATAGTTACTATAGTGTGGCAATTCATCTAACTTAAACGCTATTAAGCCTTGCTAGTTCTAGATAAAGAGACAAAGAAGAAAGAAGCACCAAAGAGCAGAGCTTAGGCTATCCGTGCATAGGAGCAGTGTTAGGATAAGCTGCCTGTTACGATCTTCGAACGGACGAGTACTGATAGGAAGCGGGGCAGCGCTTCGGATGACAACGTGTCACTAGTCACGTGATCTCGGAACCCTCACGCCAAGCACAACCCTCCGTGATGATGCGGATACCTAGGAGGGCAGTGCATATCTCTTATGTATATAAGTAGTAGGAACACAACTCTTACAGTTCGTGTTCAACCTCGTCAATCAAGTTTGTCTTTGGAATCTCAACCTGCCCTCGAGCCAGATAGTACCCTCTATACTACTCAGTGCAACCCCTATCATCACGAGCTTTGCTTAGGTGATAACCCTACCGATCCAGCTACCTTACTCATCCCCGAGAACCAATAGAATCAGTGCTCACGGTCTTTGACTAGAGTACGACTTCAACACTGCCTTAAGAGAAGATACAGGACTAGATTAAACGTAAAAGATTATTAACTTAGACAGGAAATGAGTACAAAGAGGGCAAGAATGTACATAGGACTAATTAAAACAACTTGCACTGTTTGGTGTTGAGAATTAAGAGTTATCGGCCCTACACCCCTGTATTGCTCGTGCGTTGACCAGGGGGGGAAAGACTTTTGAAATGCTCCTCCGTAGGTCCGCCGCGAGATCTCCTCGGCTGCACATCGTCCGCGAGTCACACAAGTTGGAACAATCTTGCCAAACAGGGTGCTGGAGGTAGGAAGTTTGCCGAACCAGACAGAATTGGGCTGTATATTGAGGCGAGTGGTTATTCCTGAAGGGCTCGGTTCAGGTTCCGAATACGGATCTGCGAACGGTACGCTGCCCCAGTCGTTCGCGCAAACATAACGATCCAAAGCGCCCACACGCTGAGAGCATGATGGTTGACTAGTTTGACAGTCGAGGTCAGCCACAACGGGAACCGCCTCCAGATCGCACGTTGCAACGACGGGCATGCAGCAATAAGTCCGGACTCCGAATCCCGGAATATCGCATTAATCTGATGTGTAACGTTGAAGCCCAGATTTGTGAACGATGTTGTCCCGATGGTGCAGTGTCCGGTCTTGAAACTGCGTGCTAACATAGAGATCCAAAGTTCTTCCTGTACGAAGGAGCCCGTATCATAAGTCCTGGCTCGAGTAGAATCATCAAACCTGTCCTTCTCAGAACACTCTAAACTAATTGCAAGCGTCGTAAGATATGCGACGGCAGAACGGTCCGATGTACGCCCAGCACCACCGACTGCACGAGTTCTTCCACAAGCCAGGCGGCTTCGTGGCGTTGAAACGAATTTGAGTTTACAACTGATAGAAATGAGCACCTGATTCTCCTCACGGAAAGCAACGATCGACACTCAAGCGCGCGGCCCTGTACATACGCTCCTTGCATCGCCGTCTCGGTTCAACGTTGCTGCTCGTTGGGCGACGACAAGGACAAGTTCTCAAGCGCCAGCTTGGCCATGTATTCGTCAACCATGTACTTGATGTTGAGGTACTGCGTGCTCTTTGGCCCAAAGGTCGAGAGAGCGTTGCGTAGAGATGACTGCAGCTGGGAAGAGTTAGCCTTATTTGAAGTGTGGCAGTTGCGTTGATGGGCAGGACAGCCAATGGGGCTACCACGCAGGTACTCATGAGACGAACCGAAAGCAGGATATCGTCCGACTGAGATGGCATGATGCAAGCAAGGCTGATATCAAGGGTGGTGGCTTCGGGAGTTTAGTTGTGGGTTACGGCAGGACAACCGAGAAATGACAAATAACCCACTTCATTAGCGGATTTTCCTCTGGAAAAGATAGTCCGGATTTGCAACGATGAGATTGCTTTACTACGCTTGCGCTACATTATCGTTCTAGGTATAATGTACAACGAACAAACCCATACCCAACTCAGTATTCCGACCATGCAAAACAAGACGCCAACTGCATGCCCAATGAACAATTTCGATACTTTGTCTTGCACGAACACCAAACGCCATGCTGAACAAGAAGGACGATGCGCCAAGTGACTTACCAAACTCCGCGTAGTATCTTGCAGTAACAGCACCGTTCTTTCCCCCTGACATACTAAAAACTAACGTATCCTGTGTCTTCACCGCCGGGCTCATCCATCCAACCGGCCCCAGCTTCGCTGAGTCCGGGGCCGTGATGGTGGTTTCCACGAGACATGCCTTCGCCCTCGCCACGCTCAACCCACTCTTCGTTAATGTCATGATAGATGCGTTGGAAATACAATCGCAATGACCGTAAGCCCCGCAGATAGCCTCTGTCGACCTCATCAGAGTCTCTAGGCGGACAGGAGGCACCCTCAAGCGTGTCTTCAGCGGTAACGCAGTTGGCAAAGTCGACGATCCTGAGCTTTATTTCTGACTTATCCTTTGGCGGCGCCGAACTCGACGTGGGCGCTATGCCAGGAGAAGTCGGACCAGATGGCGTGGCTGAGGGTGCAGCGGACAGGTCATCACCACTCGGCGTCGTGAGCCTGATTTGCTGAGACACACTTTCTTTCTCTTTCTGTTCGCCATCGCCCCGATCGTACAACATAAGCAGA